GACTTTGGACCAATGGGACATTTCGTCACCGACACCACAAATAACACTCTACCAAGTTAAACCATATTTTTTTTTCGAATTTCAGTTTTTTTTATTTTTAAACATTATTCATCAAGACCTACCATTGCACGAAGTTTCAAAGCTTCAAGAGCTTTACTCTAATAATTACGCTAAGTATCCATGGCAACTTTTGCGCATAAGCGACAATTTTCGTTTTCACGAAGTAACACTCAAGTCCCATTTACCATTGCAATGCATGGCGCGCACTCTGCTCATAGGTGAGCAAAAACGTTTTCACGAAGTAACACTCTTCTTGTAACAAGTTGTATGAGCGCGCGCGCGCTGACCTGAAGTTCCACTTTCCTCGTGTTGTATACCGTGGAGAGTGTTACTTCGTGGAAACGAAAATTTACAGTTTCGCAGCTTTTTCGGTTTCACGAACCAATACTCATCGTTTTTCTCTTATTTTTTGTTTATTTAATACACAAACGGGTAAAAAACAGCAGATTTAATAAATTCAATTCATCAAGTGTCCACAACACAACGAGAAACCCAACTGAAAACACTCTGTCGTTTTGACGCAAAGTGTTGTTTTTAGAAGGCATTCAACTTTAGATGCCGTTTTCTCCGATTGCTAGTTTTTACCGGTATGTACATGAGTGTGGGCTATCAGACCAATGGAAATTGGGACCAATGGGACTTTGGACCAAAGGGACTTCGGACCAATGGGACTTCGGACCACCAATGGGACTTTGAACCAAAGGGACTTCGGAACAATGGGACTTCGGACCAATGGTACTTCGGACTATAGAGACGTCCCCGTAGGTATGAGCACTACGAAGTTACGATTTCGACTTGGGCATGATATCTGAGATAACTGGGTAACATAAACATCCTGAATGAGACTCACTTTGTTACTATTAAAACAAATCTCAATCCTCCAAGAACTCAGTGGTATGGTATGTGTGTGTACACAAGTATTTTTTTTTTTAGTTTTCACAGTATTATGTATGCGCTGTTGACCCCTGGCCCCCTTGGTCCATCGATTCCTGGGTTATACATGAACATGGCTGCAAAAATTCGCTTTGTGGGAGGTTGATTACATACGTCTTCAAAAAAGCTCTGCACGTTTTAAATAAGTGTATTTCTTTTTTGTTTACAATTATGATGATAGTTTTAATGTCAGTGTCTTCTCTGTGTTGAATATGAAAAGGCACGACTGTCAGAAGATCATCATCTACCAGCATCAACGGCCTTCCCATTGACAGCCACAGCCGCCGCTCCCACAAAAGCACTACCATCCGAGGATCAGCTAACAACATCAACGGCCCTGCCATTGACAGCCACAGCCGCTGCACCCACTACCATCAGAGTCAGCGGCTGTCCCGTTTTCAGCCATTTTTTTTTCTGCCGCCGAACGCACGCGATCCGCTCTCTACAGCATACGCGTGTAGCTCTGGGGTACGGTGCGTGCAAGCAAGTATTCAATGTACATGTACATTGTACATACGTACGTACATGTACGTGTGTACTATACGATGCCATGTGCATGCATTTTTCAGCTCGAAGCTGCGTACGGCGTGTACAATGTATTGTACAATGTATTGTACACAACATGTAAACAGCATCCGGGGAACCAACAGTCATTGCGCTGTGATTGGTTGCAGATAAATATGAATATTCACACATGAGCCATGAAGTGCGTTGGGACTCTTTGCGGCCGTTTCTGTGCCTATGCTTGTAGTGACACGCGATGATCTCCACAATAACCCGTTTTAAACATCGTCTTGTTGCAAATATAAAGCCTGGAAATAAGACTAGTAAATTGTCGCCGTGCCGCGCCGGTAGAGGGCATCATGCGGGCAAAGTTCATGTGTGCATTTCATGCACGCATCCTGCATGCTGATACGTACGTTAGTGTGTCGTTTCAAATGTTTCGAACGTATTTTGCCATTATTTATTCCGCAAGATGTCAGTGCAACACAAATGTGTTATTATCCAAAGAGGTTCGGAGTTTGATACGGACTTTGACAAGACCGATCCTCAGGTTACGATTCCGTGGAAATGGATTTGGATGGAAGACATGGTTAATGAGCAGAAATTAGGCAACTCGATCTGAAGCCGGGATACGCGATGACGATATGTATCATCTGCAGTAAGGCATGTAAGGAGTTAAAATATGGAAAACGTGGTCGATTTTCCCAGTTATCATATACAAGTTGGCCATTTAGGCAGTTTCAAGCCAATATAAAGGAAAAGTTAACTTAAAAACATGCATAAATTGCAAAACATTTTCGACCAATAGTTGGCCCAGGCATGCCAGGAGGCTTTAAAATGCACCACAGAGCATCTACATTTCAAATTTTTTTACCCAGGTATTTATTTTATAAAAAAATAGGAATATTTTTTTAGTCATGCATTTAATGGAACATAATACAGTTCAGAAATAAATGGTTGGATTTTAACACAGGTCTTTAATTGCATTCACATTGTGTTACAAGCATTCCATTTCAGACGGTGCAGTCTTCGTCATCCTTGAAACAGATACAGAAGATTCAGATCTGGAGCAGGAATTAGACACGGAGAAGAAATGAAGTTGCAAAGTACATGTACTACAATCTATATAGTCTAGTGTTTCTGCTGAATCACTGTGCCTTGTTGCTGAAGAATAAGAACATATTTTTATTTTTCTCTGCAGACAATACTTCGCACGATTCGTGACATCGGAGACTCAAATGAGGAGTTGGACATCTATGAAGAGGTCTTAGATGTTTCTCAGACAATTTCCTATTTTCACAATATCTTCATTAGTATTCTCATTCTCTGTGTAAACACCGAGATTGACCTAGTATAAAGAAAATACAAGAAGGGATAAAAGTACTATTCAACAGTTTACACAATTGTTTGTTGAAAGACTGGCCCCAAAAATGTATCAAAATTATTCAGGAAAAATAGCATCAGACCCAGCAAAAATTGCAAACATGGGCATCACCAGGGTTTGTTTTAAAAGGAGGAGGGGGGGGGGGCAAAGCACACCCCCACAAAAAAAACTAACTGTATTTTGTTCTATATTCTTGCTCCCACTGAATTAACAGCAATATGACTGCGCACCTCTTGTTCTTTCTTTTGTCTCATTTTTTTTGTTTTTTGTTGATATATATTTTATTGGGTTTTTTTTTGGTTGCTGGTTTTTGGTTGCTGGTTTTTGGTTTTGTTTTGTTTTGTTGTTTTTTTCGGGGGGAACAAACAATACCCAATCCCCCTAGTGATGACCTTGCTCAATGACCAGCCCCCCCCCCCCCTCCCTCCATGGTTAACTCTCATGAATTCAAAGGGCCCATGCAATGTGTATTCTTCAAATAATCTTTGAAAACGCACCTTGTCTCCAATTCAACCCTATTTTCAATATTTGTTTTCCCATCTTCAAGGGTATTTTGGTGCCTTATTTGTTTTATGCAAATGCATACTCACATATTCAAAGGTGTTACTTCATTTCAGGCAAAAAAGCTACATGATTGAGCTATTTCAGCATTCGCCTGAATTTGAATATACTGCTTGGGGATTAATTGTTGTGTCAGTACATGGCAGCTAGCCAATTTTTCTCACAAACATTTTCAATGAGCAAATTTTTGGGTTCACAATTTAAACAGAAAAATCTTAAAATTGAACAGTGTCTTAATTCAAGAAATTCAAATTTAGGTTTTTCCCTTCACCGGCGTTTTTTAAACACTGTATACTAAGTGTGTTACCTCCCTAGTGAAAGTTGAAAAAAAACACTTGGGTGGGACTCGAACCCACGACCTCCTGCTTTCTAGTGCAGATGTCTTACCACTCCACCAACGAGCTAACAGGATCGGTTGGCCGGTTGGAATCTGATGTACATAGCAGCGGGTACCGCATAAACTATTATAAGATGCATTTTTTTGCGCTGGGGTCACCCCGGCGCAAAAATACCACTCATAATAATTCCAGAAATGACTTCAACAACATAACTCTGTGTTCAGTGTCCAAAAACGTATGGACAGTTGTGAAATGTTTAAAGAAGTGCAGTATTGAATTGACAAACAAAAAATGGATGTCAAGTATTTTATAGACATATAAGAGGAGTTTTATGTTGCAAAAGTATGCCCCAAGATCAATTATGTTACGGACCATATCAAAACCATTAAAACGTTTTTTCCATTTACCACTTCACTCTTACAAAAAAATCCTACCTACCCTATTTTCAAATGCCATGTATATGTTATCGGAAGCAAACATACACTTTTTTGGCCTTAGTATTGGTGGCACTAGTATTTAAATGATCTTCTTTTTTTCACGAGTATGAATCATATTCATTTCACAGGCTGTGTAGATGATGTTGTACCACGGTACAACCTTAATGGCTTCAGGTATCACTATCGTTTGTCAAGGGATGTGTTTGAAACCTTGGAGCAACAGGTTTTGCCTCATTCAGTCACACACCATCGAGGAAGTGAAGAGAAAGTGGACCCAAGGAAACAGCTGCTTGTCTTCTGCTGGTATATGAGCAACAAGGAGAGCATGAGAGAGATTGCCCAAACATTAGGCATCGCAAAATCTACGACACATAGCATCATTACAACTAGTAAGCACGGGCGAGGTGACAAACGTTAATGAGCTCTGGTATCATCTTTTCATTTACATACAGCTAGCGCGATCTGGTTTTCGAAGTAATGAATACACATTTAGCGAATACGCGTTGATCTGCCGCGTGCATACGCAGTAACACAAACGACCATTAGCCAATCAGCATGCAGAACTAACTGCACGAGCGCAGCCAGTTGCACGCGCATCCGGCGCGAACACGACCAAAATCGGGTTATACAGTCTGTGCGAAAGCGTCTTCGCCACTGGAGTGCACAACAGCGCCCTCTTGTGACTGACTGTTATAATTGCCAAATCCTTGTCGAATCACGTTGTTTCCAGATAATTCTTAGTCCGTAAAATCCTTGTTAATGACTCCAAATCATCAATTGCCATTATAATCCAATCACCAGGTTAATTATAAATACCCCCTGTGCGTGAATTACTGAAAGTGAGTATAATTTTGGTTAATCTTGATACGATATTTGGAGGGATTTCACTTCACGTTTATCATGTTAATTGTTAGATTTGGGTTGTAATGTACATTGTACTGATTTATATTGGAATTACATGCCATGTCACACCTACACACATTTGCATGGGGTTAATTCTTCGCTGGGGATATTTAGGGACCCTTTTGTAAATCCAGTGTTAATCTATAAGTGTTTTGGCCCTTACCTCCATATATTTGGGTTTATGTAAACATGTTGTGTATATTGCTGGGCTGATTATAGTGACATACGTTTATGTTGTTAATGTTTATGATATGATTAGGATTTCCTAGGCATGTGCACGTATTTATTAGTTCCCCTTGTGTTTATTCCTCTTGTAGGACCACAGACTACACAGACCTCACATACTACACAGACCACACAGGCTTATACTAGGACCAGACCAGGCCAAGTACCCATTTAAAATAAAACCAATCTCAGCCCATCACCGGTGTGACCGCCTCCTTCTTTTCACAGTCGATCACGTATGTTTCAGCCGCTCATTTAGATTGCATGCATGCGCACTCAAAATATGAAATACTGATAATTAGCAAGCATGGATACCAGCACAGTCGCAGTTTGACCCACTGAAGAATCGGTCAACATCACGCTCGAAGTACTTTGATAATTTTTTTTCCACGTGGACAGAAATTTAAGGCAAAGTCACTTTTGCAAACTTTAACGTTTTTCCGTGTCGTGTAGTACAAAAGTATTGGGTCACAAATTCAAAACAGGCGACATTTTAGGGGATAACTTTTTCAGTTTTTGTAAACTTGCCTTCACTGACAGATGGTAAAAGATGCTACGGAAAGTACGATGTGTAGATCATTCAAGTCGGAAACCGTTTCAATGAGAAAATTAAGGTCTCACGTTGTACGTTTTTTTCGTTGAATGTGACGTTATTTTGCACGTACACTGTACACGGACCCTGAATCTGACCCGTAAACATGGCCCGCGAGCCACGCCCGCGCAGTTTGTAATCTTTCGACACGTTGGAAATGTATACATTTAACTGAAACTATTTACAACTGACTGGTTCTGCCTCTGAAATGCAGTTAAGTACGATCATAGAGGGTCAGGCACTGGAGACCAGTCTATTTGTGCACAAAACTGTCATAATGGGTTTAGTTTTTAGCGCCGTTACCACACTATACAGACAATTTATATTTACTTGGTCTACTGATGAAAATTTTGGTTTGAATCATCTTTTAAGTACGTTCGAGAAGGATACATTTTAAGACATGAAAACCGGACAATCGTTAAGTGCGTCGTCTGCTACCGCTGTTTGCATTCCAAAGCAGTCTATGAAAATTGACCAAAGATATATATTTATAACTTTTACATGATCTCAAGCTGATTTGTGGGTGACACTGTATGTGTGGAGAGAGACACAGACATAAAGGCTGTATCTTGATTACTTTGCCAGCTTCACATTTTCAACAGTGAAAATTTGCCTAATCATCCCCTTCACAAGTGACATTTTCGAAAAGATATTTGGGAGCTATAATTGAAGGGAAAAAATAAAGATTGTCTTCTTTGTCATAGATTTTGGATACCAACAATGAAAAGTGAGCCACGTGAGATTGTTTTGCTTGCCTTATTATTTTTTTGTTTTGCATGACATGGGGGTGATGCTTAATTCTTGTTTTGTTGCAGAGGATTACACCATACAGGATGATCATTCTTACTGCAAAGCTCCTCAAGAAACACAGTCAGCTGACTCTTTACTTGAATCAACTGGCATTGCTGACCAATTACCCAGTAAAAAGCAACGCAAGCTGCTCAAGAAAGAACGCCAACGAACATGCAGGCTAAGGAAACAGGTACATCTTCTGAAAAAGTCCATGGAAAAGCTGACTAAAGCTTCACAGTCGATTAATGAATTGATCCAAGGTGCTCAGGAGTTTCTTGAAGAGCCTGCATTAACATTCCTTACATCGCAGTTGAGGAATTCATCATGTCGTTGTAAGGCTAAAGGAAGGAGATGGAGCTACAAAGACAAAATCATAGCTCTCTCATTGTACCACCAGAGTCCTCTTGCCTACCAGTTCTGTCAGGGCATTTTCACGCTTCCGTCAATTTCATCTCTTGTCGTTGGTTGAAAAATGTTGAAGTGAACCCCGGATTTCCTCCCAAAGTATTGGAACTGCTCGGAGACAAAGTTGCTGGTATGACTGAAAGGGACAAGTTTTGTGTCATTTCGTTTGATGAAATGAGTCTGCGGACGGGCTTGTTTTACATCACAGAAGACAGAGTAGAGGGATTTGAAGATTTTGGCTCGTTAGGGAGAACCTCAAAGCCAGCCAATCATGCACTTGTGTTCATGGTGAGGGGATTAATTGGTAGGTGGAAACAACCCATTGGATACTTCTTGTCCAGAGATGTAACAAGTGCCTAAAAAACCTTGAAGCTCTGCTCATGGAATGCATTGAACATCTAAAAGACCTCGGGTTGCAGCCTAAGGTGGTGGTATGTGACCAGGGGACCTGCAATACTAAACTCTATAAGAATCTTTCAGTCACAGCAGACCAGCATTTCGTCCTCCATGATCAAGAAAAGATCTTCTTCATGCACGACCCTCCACATCTTCTAAAGAATACAAGTACGTCTTCAAAATCAATGGAAAAGATGGATGCAAACACATCAGATGGGCTCACATCCGAGACTTATACGAACAAGATTCCTAGCTGCCAATCAGAAAAGCGCACAAACTTACGAATGGTCACTTTGAGCTCACCAGCTTCTCCAAAATGCGAGTAAATAAAGCCGCTCAAGTCCTCAGTCATTCTGTTGCAGCAGGAATGTATAGCTATGTTGCTTTTGGCAAGCTACCGGCAGAAGCTGCATACACGGCTGAAATCATTGAAATGATTGACTCTTTGTTTGACTCTTTCAATGGAAGATTTTTCAAAGACCCAAAGAAACTTAAAAGGCCTTTATCTCAAAATTCTGAACACAAGGCCTTCTTCAATACATGCCTGCCTGTGCTGAAGAGTCTAAGAGTAGTTGGAGCTAAGAGAGTAATGTTCATTGAGGAATGGCGTCTGGCCTTACCATGTGTTACTCAACTGTGGCAACATATGAAAGAGACCAGCGACGTTAGATTTCTGCTCACATCACGCCTCAACCAGGATATTGTGGAGAACCTGCTTTCCACTATAAGGAGAAAAGGGGGATTTAGAGACAATCCTTCCCCAACGGAATTTCGATGCACTTTTAGGATGGTGTTGGTCGCAGCGTTAATAAAGCCGGCTGCAAATGCCAACTGTATAGTAGACTCAGACAGATTCATTCTCACCTTACAGAACCTCACGAACAAGTCCTGCACCTGTAGAAGAAAGAGGCGCAAATTATGTGGAACGTGAAGTCAAAGTATAACAATGTGCTAAAAGGTGTTGCTGCTCCCATTCCAGTGGATCTTCCCGAACAGAACACACTTGCGTACATAGCTGGGTATCTCTGTCGAAGAGCACTCACTTGCCATGAAACTCCTTCATCATGCCAGGCCTGCAGAGATGCTCTGCTCCGACCCAACGCCCAGTTGGACGACCCAGCACTAGTGTTCATATACAACAAAGTCTACGACACATCAAAATCTGAATTTGGATCATTGATGGTACCCTCAGGGAAATTTCTTGCATTTTGTACCCAGTGTGAGAAAGTGTTTCGAGCAGAGTTTGCCACCGGCAAAATGATAAGAAACAATATCTCCTAGATGCTTATTGAACAAATGCGTAGCTTGAGTCTGTACCAAGAGCTGAATGTGTGCTGTGAGCGGATTAAAGCCAAGATAGTGGCAACATTCGTAAGTTTACGGATACACTATGCACTGAAGTTTCAAAACAGAGAGCTACATGAGGCAACAGTGAAAAGAAAATGCAGGAAAATGAAGAAAGTGGGACATGAATAAGTACAAGTCCTGCATCCACTCTCAGCCAAGTCCTACATCCACTCCCAGCCAAATACTGCATCCACTCCCTGCCAAGTCCTGCATCCACTCCCGGCCAAGTCCTGCATCCACTCCCGGCCAAGTCCTGCATCCACTCCCGGCCAAGTCCTACATTTACTCCCGGCCAAGTCCTGCATCCACTCCCGGCCAAGTCCTACATCCACTCCCGGCCAAGTCCTGCATCCGCTCCCGGCCAAGTCCTACATCCACTCCCGGCCAAGTCCTGCATTCGCTCCCGGCCAAGTCCTGCATCCACTCCCGGCCAAGTCCTGCATCCACTCCCAGCCAAGTCCTGCATCCACTCCCGGCCAAGTCCTCCATCCACTCCCAATCAAGTCCTCCGTCCACACCAGTAGGGCGGCCATTTTGGTGAGGGGAAAAAATGGGCCTACATGTTTCAATAATTTGCTGGACATGATGAGTGCCTATTTGGCAAAATATCATTTACGTATTACGGGAGCCTGATAAATACACTGCCAAAAAATTCCTCACAAAAAAATTAAGATAAAGTAGTTTGGAAAAGATGTTGCAATGTGATGCCACTTCTGCAATTGTGAACAAAGTCTATGGAAAGGCAAGCAAACATTTTAATTATTTCCTCAAAATTAGAAATGTTTCTTGGTCCCAGATTCAAGTTAAATATTATTCTTGCAATGAATGACATTCATTGAGATGATATAAAGTGGCGTCAGATTGCAACACGTTTTTACGTTGTTTTTGCCAATAGGCCTACATTCTTATTATTAAACATGTCATTTACTTGGAAGTCTACCCCCCCCCCTGATTTAAGGAACATGAACAAAGGTGTTACCCCTCCGCCTGATTTGTGCCCAATTTCGGACGCCAGCATGATAAATAGTGTATTGTGTTTATGTTCATGATACGTGTACATGTACTTACAAAGAATGTTTCAAAATTTGCTGGCCAAATATTTCTCCTAAATGTTTCAATAATTTGCCGGCCATAATGAGTGTCTATTTGGCAAATTATCATTTACGTATTATGGAAGCCTGATAAATAGACTGCTAAAAAATTCCTCACGAAAAAAATTAAGATCAAGTGGTTTTTGAAAAATGTTGCAATGTGATGCCACTTCTGCAACTGTGAACAAAGTCTATGGAGAGGCAAGAAAACTTTTAAATTATTTCCTCAAAATTGGAAATGTTTCTCAGTTCCAGATTCAAGTCAAATATTATTTTTGCAATGAATGACCTTCATTGAGATGACATACAGTGGCGTCAGATTGCAACACGTTTTTACGTGGTTTTTGCCAATAGGCCTACATTCTTATTTTTAAACATGTCATTTTCTTGATAGTCTACCCCCCCCCCATGATTTAAGGAACATGAACAAAGGAACAACCCCTCCGCCTGATATGTGCCCAATTTCCGGATGCCAGCATGATAAATAGTGTATCGTGTTTATGTTCATGATACATGTACATGATGTACATACAACGAATGTTTCAATAATTTGCAGGCCAAATACAGTGTATT